TTTTTTTTTTTTTTTTTTTTTTTTTACATTAGTATTTTTTTCAGTGGGAACTAAAATATGAGATTTTGTAGGATTTATGATATGGATAAAATAAGAAAATGCATAAATACATCTAAAACGATATTTAAAAAATCACAAAGGTTACAAAATCAAACAACATTTATTCTTAAATGGAGGGAGTAAGGAGTTAGTAAAGAGTCATTATCATACAATTTAATATTAGAAAAGAAAATAATTCAATAAAACCAAATCGTGCAACATATTTTTAAATTGATGAGTTTTAAATTTGAATATAAAGTCTACGTCACACCAAAAAAATTTGATGATATTTAATTTTGAATGTAAATGATATTTATTTTGAATATAAAACCAATCTATGATTTATTTGAATATAAAATTTAATCATACAACAAAGTTAATGAATAGTTAACATTTTTTTTTTCTTAGTTGTATATGTACTAATTTTATGTTATCTTATTTATATTTTTTTTTTTCAAAGACAACGTCCTAAAGAATATAAAAAGTCTCACTATAATATTTACTAAATTGTAGATTTAAAAACGTTAAGAGAAGAATTTTGACTACATATGAATTATTAAAAGATCAATTTCATAAATTTAATAGAAGAATTTTGATTCATAAGATTTAAACTCTCTAAGTTAAAGAGACAACAGAGTCAAACATCACATACTCAAATAAATCTAATAACTTTAAAATTATCTAACATCATAAATCGTTTTTTTAACGAAACGATAGAGATAGTATTAACTCAAGAAAACGAACAGTGTTCGAGTACAACGAGCAACACCCGAAATGAAAACTGGGAGAACACGCTTGAAGCAATGTGGGATAATGTTTAATAATTTTGTAGATATGTTTTTTAATAATATTTTAGAAAAATTTAGCTGTTGTTAATATTTTGTATGAACATGTTTATCTAACTATCATTTAATTTATGATATATAATAATTTCATATTATGTCGTCAGTACAAATAATATTAGATCAATTAATGATGTTGAATCCGTCACAGAAACAATACGACAATACACTTTTCAAAATATGTTCGTCATTTTTCATCTCATATCTAAATTACAAATTTCAATGCGAATTGTATTATGATATAAAACGTATGAAACTAAAAGTAAAACTCCATTGATGAACTGAATCAAGGTGGAAAGATTACAGAGAGGAAAGCTTTAGAGAGAGAGAGAATACAGATCATCTCAAGAGGAAAAGAAAAAGTGAATGAAGTCCAAACCCTAATATGCTATTTATACTAAGGCTAATATAACTAAAAGTGCTATATGAATGTAAAAGTGCTATTACAATTTTAACAACTAAAATGCTAATTACAAATATATATTTAATATCCTCCCACAAGAGGAACATGAATGTTAATGATGTTCATCTTGGAAATGCACTGCTGGAAAGGCTGAGGTCCAAGGGCCTTGGTGAGCACATCAGCAACTTGTTCTGCAGATGGGACAAACTGCAATGAGATGACTCTTTTGGACAGCTTTTCCCGTATGAGATGGCAGTCAATTTCGATGTGCTTCGTTCTTTCATGATGCACTGGATTATTAGCTAGAGAAATGGCAGATTTGCTATATGAAAGGAGTAAAACAGGAGAGGAGTGAGAAATGTTTAAGTCCTGAAGCAGGTATAAGAGCCATTGAGCTTCACATGTAGTGAGAGCTAATGCTCTATACACTGCTTCAGCAGAAGACCTACTTACAGTAGATTGCTTCTTGAATTTCCAGGAAATAAGGGAATTCCCTAAGAAGAAAGCATAACCAGTTATGCTTCTTCTTGTATCAATGCACCCTGCCCAGTCACTATCACTATATCCCTTTAAAGTTAAATCAGAGAGTCTGGGGTAGAGAATACCTTGGCCTGGTGTAGCTTTCAAATACCTGAGTACCCTATTGGCTGCAGACATATGATGGTGAGTTGGGCAAGAAACAAACTGGCTCAATGTTTGCACACTGTGGGTTAAGTCAGGCCTTGTGATGGTCAGGTATAAAAGCCTGCCAACTAATCTTCTGTATGCTGAAACATCTATAGTAACAGACTCTTTATTTTTATCAATTGATGACAGTTTGACATTAGGATCCATGGGTGTAGATGCAGGTTTGCATGCAAGATGGCCAGTGTCATGTAAAATATCTAAGGCATATTTCCTTTGGCAAAGGTGTATGCCCTTTTCAGAATGTGCAACTTCAATACCAAGTATATATTTCAAAGTACCCAAATCCTTAATAGTAAAACATTGATCAAGATGCTATTTGATGGCAAGTATAGCATCTAAATTATCCCCAGTGACAATAATGTCATCCACATATACAAGTAAAGCAAGAGTGAAGGCAGAGGTATTGTAAACAAACAAAGAGCAGTCAGAATTAGATTGTTTGAAGCCATATTTCAGCAGACAAGTAGTTAATTTATTAAACCACTGCCTTGAGGCTTGTTTTAAACCATATAAGCTCTTTGTTAGTTTACAAACTCTATTGTCATTTTCAGCTAAGTAACCAGGGGGAGGAAGCATATATACAGTTTCATCAAGATCACCATGGAGAAATGCATTATTTACATCTAATTGATGAATGTGCCAATTTTTGGCAGATGCAATGGCAATTAAAACTCTAACAGTGGTGATTTTGGCTACAGGTGAAAATGTGTCAAAATAATCAATTCCTTCTTCTTGGGTGTACCCTTTAGCAACCAGTCTAGCTTTGTATCTTTCAATTGAGCCATCAGATTTGTATTTTATTTTGTACACCCATTTACACCCTATGCAATGATGATTAGATGGTAAGGGGACAAGGTCCCATGTATGGGTTTGTTCAACAGCAGATAACTCTTTGTGCATGGCTTCTTGCCAAAGAGGATTTGAAACAACATGTTTGTAGGTTTTGGGTTCTGAATGTTGAGTGATGGATGCAGTGAAGCATGCATGAGATGCAGACAGAGATGAT